ATGAATTAAATGTTTTTTTTTTTTTAATTGTAAGCATTGTTTTAGTTTATGCTTTTTACAACCTCAACTTGCACAAGATAACAGCTTTAAATCTCCTGTAATGCTTGATGAGGTTCAAATAAACCTGTAAAGACATTAGATGGCATTTATCCATTCAGAATCTTGCTTTATTTTTAGGTACTTTGATCTTGGTGGACTTTGCACTTTTTCTGTAGAATTTCTTTGTTTTAGTGACTTTTACTTCATTAAATGAATTGAAAAGAGCTTATTAGTTTATTGTCGATTAAAAAAATATTTAGAAAAAAAATCTTCAGCCATTACCTGCGTTTTACAAACAAGAACCACATTTTCAGCTAAAACACCTTCAATATCCGCCTGAAAGAAAAGTTCAATTGCTTATTGGGTTGAGAGAGCTACATTTTCATTCAGCAAATTTTCATTTGGGGGGTGAACTCTCCTTTCTTTGAATCTCAAAACACATTCTCAGAGGTTCAAAAATCAATCAGTTCCTAGTGTAACAAATGATCTGCCTCGAAAACAAAAATCATATGGCTTTGAAAGCAGACATAAGCAGTGTCACAATATGATTACTGAGAAATTGCCCAAGGTAAAGACATCTGCCAAGCAAATAAATGTTCTAATGCAATGCAAACCTCTGAGATCCTTTGGGAAAGCACTATTGTTATCCACTGTGATTATGTGCATTTTTAATAGCTTTTTTATGGGGATGCTAATGAAATACTCTTCAGAAAATGTCGAACAGGTCTTGGACGCATGTTGCATAAATATCCATAAAGCTAAATAAATCCCAGCATTCCTACCCTTGATCAACAGTTGCATTAAAGGCTTAGAAGAGTCTAAATGCCAGAGAATCCTTAAAAGCAACAACTAAATATCAAGTTGATCTTTTATTTTTATCTGTTTAATGTAATAGCGCCAATTAGTGTGAAGAATGTTATGCAATGCACATTGATATTCCAAATAATGCATCAGAGCAAACTCAATGTGCTTTGAATTTCACCTGTGCACAATGGCAATAAAATATTCCTCTGAGAAAGGCAATGCCCAGAGGAAAGAACACAAACAGGCATAAAACCCTCCAATTTCCCCCTCAGGTTTGCTATTTTTATGAATCACAAATCACTAGGCCAAAACTCAGCTCTCTGAAGACTGGAGCCCAGGGTTACTGTGGTAACATGGGAACCCTGAAGACATCATTTGCACAAGACTTTTTTTTTTTTTTGCCCCATTTCCCCCCCGTACCTATTATATTAGAAGATCTTGGACAGGTCAGTGGCATATTTATAATCAATGGCAGACACAAAGAAATGCAGCTTAGAAAAACTGTACAGATTCTGTTTGAAATGGTCTTTGTAATTATTTACCACAGGTCAAAATATTTAAAAATGTCTTATGGAAGAAAAAAAAAAAAAAAAGTAGTTCTGTGAAAAATGAATCAACCAGACAAGGAATCAGTGGCAAATCTGTGCAGAGTTGGCAATTGCACTACACTGTTCAAGTGTTCTTCTGCTATTAGTGTCCATTCTAGCAATTACACCACTGCTTGATATTCAGTGCATAGTATTACAGTAAAACTTAGCTGACTAAAATAATTTTAGTTTGACTGTCACTTGTAAAGCTTGGCACACAAAAGCAAAATTGTAAAATAATTTAAAACAACCATTAACAACAAACATAATTCATAAAGGACAAAGGCATACCTTTACCGTTACTATTCATTTAATGCACCCTTGAATTAAAGCATTCATTTCAAAATCTTTTGACCTTACACCTTACTCTGACAATAATGTGTGAACTTTATTTTTTTTTTTAAAGACACAATAGTGATCAACCATCATTTTAACAGGGTTTCTCTGCAGGTTTCACCAAGTCAAATTTAAGACTTACAGACCCTTTTAAGATCATCATGAATGAAGTTTTAGATTTATGCAGAGCTGAACACCAAGGCTTTTCTCTAATGGTCCGTTTTTTAGTTTTAGTTTGCCACAACACCAAAAAAATACACAATTAAATTTAGTTATTTCTTAGCCATTATGCATCAAAACAAGAAAACTCTAGTTGTACTTTTTTCAACCGGTTGCTTTTTTAAAACAAGTTGAACATTGTTAAAAATGTAGTTCTTATACAATTTATTTCTTAAATTACATGATCAAATATATACATTTGTCAGTTTTCTGTCTGAATGGATTGAGTAGTACTCCTACTCTACAATGCTTTCCTGTTATAAAACCTTGACTATTCCATCTTTATTTATAAAGATGTCTGCTCCCCTTCTTTAATTCTGTAAATAGTTTTTGTATAAATGAAAAATAATGTAAAGGGAAATGGTTTATAATCATCTCTACATCTTTAAACAGCAGAGTGTGGAGAAGGTCAGGTGAATTTATAAATTATCATCTAGTTCAATAGCAAGACAGCAGGCAGGGGTGATGTACCTAAATTCACAAATGTTCATCTGTAGTAAGATTCCAATGGAATGAATTAACAATCTCTTCAGACTTGTATCCTTAAAACCTTAATCCTTGGATAAACCATGTTAATAAACATTCAAGAAATAAGGGTAATCTTGCATTCCTGATTGAGCACTCAAAGACATCAGTATCCACTTTTTTTAAAGAATTTATTCGATGACAATGTACAAGAACATTTTCAGGCTGATGGTCTTCCCTGAAGGTCTTACTGTAAAAGCAAAGATGAGAATACAGTTAAATTAATACAACACTTCAATCTAAAACCACATCAGCCCATTACAGACAAATGATTTATACATAATCCCTAAACATCACATCTATCAAGGACAAAGGCTCTCTTTAAAGGGGAGTATCTTGAGGGATGGGTTGTTTCTGAATAATCCAGTGGGTACGAACACACTTGCAGACATGCAGTAAAAGTGGCTAGTTTACCTCGAATGAGCGAATGCTAACCACACACAGCATGCTACAAATTAGTGAGTCAAATCAATTGACAAACAGTTTAGGTGCATTTAACAGATTTTTTTCTCTTTTCAAATCTGTGTTAGAGACACCGGTTCCTTTAAATATCTGCAAGTGAGGGGGGTAAGGCATTGGGATTGAACATGCAAAGCACTGCAAGTTAACTGGTAAAAGTGGATCACATCAGCACACCATGCCGATTTCCACTCTACCTTCTCCTGAAAACTCAAGCCTTTCACTTCTGTAATGGTCCAGGGGAGGCAAAAGAGGGTAAAAGATTGGACAAAATGAGATCTTTCAACTAAATCTACTCATGTCTAGAAGTACTCTGAAACACAGGCTTTCATTTCATGCTGGGTTTGTGATCAACAGCCCCAAAAAACAGTCTTTTTGACTGCAGCATGAATTTGTAAATCCTGCTATTTTGCTTGTGCTACTGATTCCTACACGGTCAGCACATCACTATTAGTAAGCGCTCTACTCACTACTCAAGTAGGATTATATAAAGGTGCCTGTAAGAATTATTTCAAACCATAAACTGGGGTCAATAGCATTAGCCATGAACAAAGCAGCTAAATGTTTGGAGTTAACTTTACAGATCACTCCAGACTCTCCTTCCACAGCAGTTAGTCTACTTGTGAAAGCGTTTACCTTCTATAGTCCAGAAGTACATTTGATCAAGGAGGAAAGATGACAAATTACACATTAAAACTAAGACAATGACGACAAAAACATCCATGACAGGCAGAAGATAGAAAAAGGGTTCTCAATCTTACAGAGGATACTGAAGATAAACATTACCTTTTTGCCAGAAGCACCAACAGATGCTTTCTTGATGCCTCTAACTTTCTTCATTCTGTTCTTGCGTTCCTTGCGCTGTTTTCTGGATGTCTTTTTCTTCTCATAAAGGCCATGCTGAAGAATAAAGACAAGAGTTTTATAAAACAAGCTTCCTTTGTCTGATGTACACTTAACAATTCACTAAAATGGTTCACAAAAGTAATTTCCTCATTGAAACCACTCCAATAAAAGTTGCTTAAATTTAAAGTTCAAAAAGACCCTTCAGTGTTCCAATGGTAATGCATTCATTTTGGTGTCTGAATCTTTAAACCATAAAAGTTATTACACAATCTTAAATAGTCATATTTTAGCCATTGTTCCATTTAGCTTGTTTAAATTCAAAATATGAAATTAAATCAAGCTCAAAAAATGTCTAAAGATCAAAACTCATATTCTGACTTAAACAATCCACATAAAACTAAGGGCTTACTCACACTATGCTATCCGAACCGTGCCCAGGCCCGTTTCCCGGATCGTTTGAGAAGAGTGAGTGCTCTGAATCAGGCTCAGGCACAGTTCACTTGGGCTTTGGTGCAGTACGCTTGTGGGTGAGTGCAGAACCCGCATAAGCCAGAAACTAAAAGCAAGACGTGACTTTTGAGGGACCGTTTCATTAGGATTAATTGATCATTCTTACTGTTCAATGAACGCAAACTGTTGTAGTTTATTAAAGACGCAAACCCCTCATTGCATGACAGCTGCACCTTCAGCAAACCTCCTAAATCCTGCAGCACGAGGACTTTGATTGTTTAAGAGTGTCAAAAGTGGCCGATCTGTTCGGCGAAATATTTGACAGCGCATCACAGCATTCCAAATGATTAAAACAATATAACTGAAGAAATCTCCACTGCGCTGAGCGAGAGCGCTTACTAAGCTGCGCATCATCGATGTAAGAGTGCCCAGGCACGATTGTAATGTGAGTGGGGGCCGTCGGGGGGACAAGCGTGCTTTGGCCCAGTTCAAGGCAACTGTACATAGCGTGAGTAACGCCCTAACAAAAACAATTATATAAAAAGGATGGTTAAAAAAAAAGCTCACATTTACTCAGTTAGCTACAATTGTTTTTGAACCACAATATTCTGTTAATCAAAGCATAAAATTATGAAAAATATTACATTTTATTAAATGTCTTAAATTTGTATTAAATGTTGACGTCCATAGCAAAAACAAAATGCATCATCTTTGGCTGTTTTTTTTCCAACACTCTTCACTATATCTTTGATTTCAATAGGTGTAAATCTTAAACAGGTTTAAAACAAGTTGGGGCAGTGAGAAAATAATAGTAGAATATTACATTTTCAATTTCTCCGATAAATTATTAAAGAGCCCATATTATGGGTTTTTGAAAATTCCCCTCCATGTAGTGTGTAACAGCTCTAAGTGAAGTGAAGTATCCAGCTAAGGCTTAAATCTGTAAGAATACAGTGTTTAAAACGGTTGATTCATCTATAAAAGAGTCGACTCATAGTGCTTCAAACGAGTCGCCTTGATACCGAGTCATTAGGTGTTTCGCCATGACGTATGAACGAAACCAAGTTATTCACGTGCATGCGCAAACCCGGGAGATTTCAAACCTGAGGCCCCGCCCTCTGACGCAGAAACCCAGACACACACACACACACACACCCACAAACACACGCACACCCACAAACACACGCACACAAACATGCCGGTCGATTGAAGTCACACTGCTGATGGATATTATATCGAGTCTCTACCCAAAAATGAAACATCAGCATTATAACCAAGCAGTTGGAAACTACTGGAAACTTCTGGAAGCTACATGCTACAAAGAATACTTCATCTGCGTTTGTTAAAGGAAGGATCAGTAAAGAGTAACTTACTGATGGACGTCAGAATGGGTTTCTTTCTCCATTTCTCAAGTGTAAGTACGTGCGATTAAAGTTGTTGCCTCGTTGACTCTAGCTTGCAAATGTATTTAGTTGTGATTTGTTACTTGTAACCGAGTGTACTGTATCAGGTTAACTGGCTATATTCTCTTATCGCACGCAAAGTCACGTTAAAAACACGATGCGTGCTGCTTTGTTTATGGAGCTCCGTGGTAGAGGTCTGCATTCCTGTGGCTGTCCCCGCGCCAGATTTCTGCGGCGCGGGAATAAATTTCCGAAAAAAATCGCGGGAGCGGTCGGTAACGGGTTTAATTTGGGACGGGAGCAGGCTGTCTAGCAATATCACGGATATCGCTATGCGAATGAGAAAGAGAGAGCTTTGCCTATGAGTCTGCTTGGTGGTTGTGTGTGTGTTAGTGCGTGCGTATGAGAGAGAAAGAGAGAGCTTTGTGTGCTTGGTGCTGTGTGTGTGTTTATACAGACAGCTTGGCTGTCTGGACTGTGTAGCTGGGTGATTTTTGGTTGTGTTCTCCCCCGCTCTAGCGGGATCGGGCGCGGCGGGCAGAAAACGGGGCGGGTTCTCAGGCTAAAACCTGGCGGGTGCGGGCATAAGCGGGAGCGTTGTCGTCCAGAGGTGTGTGTTTTTGTGTGTGTGTGGCAGCTAAAATCCACACCTACACTATTGAGCGTGTATGAACCGTGATTACTTTTTATATTGCTGGTTAGCTATTGGGCATTTCACTCTCTGACTAAAGGCAGTCGACCAATCGCGACAGACTGTCATCGGTCCAATCAGCGCAGATTAGCTTCGCGCTAAGGAGGGGTTTGGGAACAAATGAATCACTGGACGATTCATACGGGAGTCGCTGGGATAATTAGGTAAAAATAAATGCAGATTATAAGACCAAGAAAGTGTTTTTTGACCTTGCATGCATATTAGACTGTTGTTGGAGACCCTTACAACCAAGATATGACCCTATTTCATGTATAATATGGGCTCTTTAAAACATTAGTGGAAGCATCAGGCTGACAAATGGGCAAAACCTAGCAGTTTGATGAAGAGCTGCAAAACATAAATATGTATTTTTTTAGAAAATGCAATTGGGCACTCGACAGTAATTTTAACAGTAGAAATGGGAATAATAGTAAAAAGGTCCACTCAATTTTCAAAAAAAAAAAAAATATATATATATATATATATATATATAAAAATAAAAACCTTGTCGATTGCTAAAAACGTCTGCTTAATTTGTCAGAAAAAAAAACCCTGAACATTCTAAAATTTGATAAAAATCAACGTTCCTTCATTTTCTTCTCTGATAATGGTTTGCTGTGTAATATTTATGGAGCCACACAATTGTGATCAACCATAAGTGAAATTACTATTACTTCTAAATGTATTTTTTGTCATAAACAGAATTTTGTTTTGCTGGCAGAAAATGGTTTATACGAATCTTGTTACAAATTTAGGAAACTGGTTGTAATATTGTGCTCCCAAATTTACATTAAAGCACAAATTGCCACGCTACAGTCTGGCACACAGCAACACATACGACATAACAGCCTTTGTGTTTTTATAATTCGTGCTTAAATTGTCAAACTTGACTTTTGGCACAAATTTCCTTTGGATGCTATAACAGCCATAAGATGCCACACTCTACTGCGACTTTACACAACATTAACAATAATATTTTCAGTCTACATTTTATCTTTAAATTAGTTATTTAAATGAATTTTACAATGTTTTGTAAAATAATTAAGTTCTCCAAACTTCAAAGGGATAGTTCACCTAAAAATAAGTAATCATTTACTCATTATTTACTCCTTTCAGCTTTGAGGTTCTTTTTAAACCAATGATTTTTTTAATAATGCTGAAAACCAGAAACCCCTGACTTCCATAGTATTAGTTTTACCTCTTACAGAAAACAATGTTACAGGGTTTAAGCTATCTTCAAAACAAATTTTGGGTTCATCAGAACAAAACTAAAAGGTTTGAAACATGTTAAGGGTGAGTTAATGGGTTTTAATTTATAGATAAACTCTCTCTTAAATGTTTGAAGAACTTGCTTTAGAAAGCAATTAAAACAGACAGAAAAAAAAAGAGAACTCACAAGTCTGTTTTCTCAGTCTAAGACAATGATGTGAAAGGTGGTACCTTAATACTTCAACTTTATATATTAATCATGCAGCACTATAAGCATCAGTGAATGGCATACCCTCTGCAGCCTGTATTTGGGCTCATTCTTCTTGGCGTAGTCCAAAGAATCGTAGATCATGCCGAACCCTGTTGTCTTGCCACCACCAAACTGTGTTTTGAAGCCAAAGACGAACACCACATCAGGGGTGGTTTTGTACATTTTTGCAAGCTTTTCCCTGATCTCTGTCTTAGGGACTGTTGCTTTGCCCGGATGCAGGACATCGACAATCTGAAAATATATATATATTTTTAAAAAAACATGAATGAGCAAATGCATCTTATTATACACATTTTGTCTTCAGTAAGCAAGGAAATCAAATTTGCAACCAACTTACCATTTGCTTCCTCTGAAGCAGCCGGTTTGTCATAAACTTTCTGGTCCTGACAGTGACTGTGTCGTTCTGCAAAGTGACATTAAAATCCGGATTAAACCATCTTTTAAATCTAGCAATAATAATAATGCAAATTAACAGAAACCCCCGAGCTAAACTTGCATGAGAGCTTTTCTCAAAGAACAAAGTTCGTATTTCTTGGCATGACAGCTTCATTTCTTACTCAAGACACTTTAAAGCAATATATCGTTACAAAAGAATCCAACAGAGTTAAGTTACTTGACGAACATCAGAATCGTTTTGCAAATATGAACTGATAACCATGTAGAAAACATCATAGCTTCGCGAGTATTAAACCATGGTTAGCAGTTTAGCCATGTTAGCTTCACAGGCTCGACACTAAATACAAGGGCCAAATTAAGTGCTAAGGTTTCACGTATTTATTACTTTATGTCCACGGACAAAAATATGTTCCCACTCACTAATATTGTTTTTCTTCATTGCCCGTGCACTGGATAAGAGTAACACGATGGTCCGAACTGGAAAACTATCATCTTTCGTTGTGGTAATAATCAGCACATCGTTCAAATGAAGCTACAAATTGGCCATAATATATGTTTATTGTGTTTTACGCTCGAAATGACACTATTACGTCGTCGGATGGTGAAGATTTAATCAGATTATTATATTCATTTTTCCCCACTCGACTCACCATCTTGGCGTCGGCTCGCTCAGGGACGAGGAAAAGGAAGAAGGACCCGTAGGTGCCCGAGAATATGCCTGAGCGCTGCTATAGTATATTGGGCAACTGCCTGACTGTAAAGCAATGCCAAGTTACAAAAACGGTTTATACATATTTTGGTTCTACACGTAAGATTTAAAGGTATGTTAGAAAAAAATTAATGATCGTAAAATATGTATTCGTAAATACATATACGTTATATATTACACGTAAATATGTGTAATAACCTGAAGACCAATACACGCACATACATTTTTACGACTGGTTAAAATGAAAATACTCTTATTTATAACTTGTTGTCAGTTACATGCTTTATGAAAATCTCGAACGATTTAGGAAACAGGTAGTATTGTTAGACGCTGTGAAAATTCAAATGTCTAAAGCTAACGTTAGGTGTCAGTCGCGAACACTTATTTCTGTTTATTTGCTATTTGCTTTTTACTTTTATGCAGGATGTAAATTTACACATTTACAGTATTAAACAATTTTAAATTATCGACAGAGACAGCGGAAACCAAAGAGACACGACAATGAGAACAGTGCAGTGTAGCATTTATTTAAAAGTATAGTGCGTTAATCATTGCAATATGCAAAAATAAAAACTGTATGGGTGGAGCATTTTATTTACACAGCAGAGACCTGGCATCAAATTATATACATTAGTTTATTATATTATAATCATCATAAATATAATACATTAATATAAATGCAATGTTTTTTTTTGTTTGTTTTTTTTTGCAGTACTGTCCATGTAAGGTTTTTCCACATAAAAATGTATACATATAGTTCAGAATGCAGAAAATTTGCTATTAAAAAAACCCTTGAAAATATTTTCCAGATTTTTCTAAAGAACACCAGGCAGTTCAAAATAAACAACACTCCAATCAACCATCTCTATGCAAAAAGAGTCTCATCCAGGTCACTTCCAGTATTAAAGAAACTATCATTCTGTCTGTTGTACTATATGTAAACATGCTTCATATGACATGTCTTTCTCAGGAGAGTATTAAAAATTAACATGCATGTCTCCTTTTTTGTTAAAATTCTTAACAATTCTGTAAAGGGTTGTAATGATTTAAAAGTTTAAAATAACTAGAAAGATGTTTTAAATTGTTAAAAACTGATAGTCAAGTATATATATATATATATATATATATATATATATATATATATATATATATATATATACAATCAGGTTTGATTGTAGTAATAATATTAGGGGAGAGCGGGACGAAAGTAACATTTTTCATTAATTTTCCTTCAGCTTATTTATTTATTCATCAGGGGTCGCCACAAAGGAATGAACGGCTAACTTATCCAGCATATGTTTTACACAGCGGATGGCCTTCCAGCTGCAACCTAGTACTGGAAAACATCCATACACTCTCCTTCACACACATACACTACGGTCAATTTAGCTTACCCAATTCATATTCATATAGCGCATGTCTTTGGACTGAGCTTGAAACTTGAAACTGGAGCACCCAGAGAAAACCCACACCAACAGGAGAACATGTAAACTCCACACAAAAATGCCAACTGACCCAGGCAGGACTCGAACCAGCATCCTTCATGCTGTGAGGCGACAGTGCTAACCACTAAGCCACTGTATCACCCAACGTTTTTCATAAAAACCTCTTTTTAAAAGATAATGTTTTTAACAGAAATTTATTTTTGCTGTGGTTACTAGCTCACAAGAGAGGTGACTTAAAACCAGGTGTTAGAACACCTCCAATATTACTTCACTTCAAAAGTAGCACATTGTTACTTTTGACCCCATCGGCAAGGGACGAAAGTAACACACTGGGTGGGTCAAAAATGACACAACAAAATTAGCTAGATTTACTGATTTAATATTGCTTATTTTAAATATATTTAATTATGACCTTGTTAATGTTACTACAAACATAAAACTGATAGTAAAGATATAAATATTATTACAGATTATTTTCATGTCAGATTTGATCTTTTGACACAGATGATCAAAAAGCATCACAATTTCCACAAATATATTAAGTAGGACAACTTTTTTAACATCCTAAGAAAAGTCCCTTGAGAAAATCAGTGTATTTGAAGGATTTCTGAAGGATCACGTGATACTGAAACTCTGATGAAGGCTGCTCATCTTTCAGCTTTGCTTTCACAGGAATACATTATTTTTTTAAAATATAATAAAAATAGTTTGAGTTACTGTTAGTGTAGTAATATTTCTCAATATTTGTGTTGTTTTTACAGTATTTTTAGTGAAATAAATGCAGCCCTGGTTATCATGAGAAACTTCTTTTTAAAACATTTGATATATACATAGATGTATATAATTATAGATCAGTCTCTAATACATCCTGCATGCATCCTATTGTTCTCCACAGACATTCTCTCCTCTAGAAATGACATAGACGTTCGCATGTTTGATCTTGCGTATTGCACCTGATCGATTATATGTATTCTAGGCATGACGGAGATCTCTTCATCTTGCCTGGCAGACTTACAAAAAAGCACTTTTGATTTGTCCTTTACGTCCACACGGTGGCTGGACCTCCTAATGCAAACAGAAAGCGTGGACATGCAGTTCTTCTGGAAGTTTTCATTCATAAAAGCATAGATAATGGGATTGTTGAATGAATTTGAAAAGCCTATGGCCTGTGCGACAGCTATAATCATATTAACTGTGACGTCATCATACTTCTTGTTCAGGTAACCTGAAAACAAAAACAAGTAAACAGGAGAGTTAAGAGGACTGTAAAATGCACAGATATTTTACTGAACACTGAAATGTTCTTACTGTACTCAAACAGGATGTGAACTGTATGAAAGGGAGCCCAGCAGACAGTAAACAGCACGACAATGGTGACCATCATCTTGATTGCTCTTCGCTTCTTTCTGAAGCATAAAGAGGGATTAGGTACATCATTTACGTACAGTTGTGTATTTTCTATCTGATATATGCTAACACTTACACTTACCGGCCACTTTATTAGGTACACCTTACTATTACCTGGTTGGAGCCCCTTTTGCCTTCAGAACTGCCTTAATCCTTTGTGGCATAGATTCAACAAGGCGCTGGAAATATTTCTTAGAGATTTTGATCCATATTGACATGATAGCATCATGCAGTTGCTCATTTTTTGGCTCCACATCCATGATGCAAATCTCGCGCTCCACCAGATATCAAAGCTATTTGAGCCATTTGAGCAGTCATGTTCAAGAAACCAGTCTGAGATGATTCGTGCTTCATGACATGGCGCTACATTAGCCATCAGACGATGGGTACACTGTGGTTATAAAGGGATGGACATGGTCAGCAACAATACTCAGCTAGGCTGTGGCATTGACACAATGCTCAATTGGTACTAATGGGTCTAAAGAGTGCCAAGATAATATCCCTCACACCATTACAACACCACCAGCAGCCTGAACCCTTGATACAAGGCAGGATGAATCCATGCTTTTATGCTGTTTATGCCAAATTCTGACTCTACCATCCGAATGTAGCAGCAGAAATCGAGACACATCAGACCAGCCAACGTTTTTCCAATCTTCTATTGTCCGATTTTGGTGAGCCTGTGCGAATTGTAATCTCAGGTTCCTGTTCTTAGCTGACAAGAGTGACACCCGGTGTGGTCTTCTGTTGCTGTAGTCCATCCGCCTCAAGGTTCGATGTGTTGCGCATTTAGAGATGCTCTTCTGCATACCTCGGTTGTAACGGTGTGGTTATTTGAGTTATTGTTGCCTTTCTATCAGCTCGAACCTGTCTGACCATTCTTCTCTGACCTCTGGCATCAACGAGGCATTTGCGCACACAGAACTGCTGCTCACTGGATATTCTCTCTTTTTGGACCTTTCTCTGTAAACCCTTGTGATGGTTGTGCTTGAAAATCATAGTAGATCAGCAGTTTCTGAAATTCTCAGACCAGCTGGTCTGGCACCAACAACGATGCCATGTTCAAGGTCACTTAAATAATTTTTTTTCCACATTCTGATGCTTGGTTTGAATTGTTTAAGCATGCCTAAATGCATTGAGTTCCTGTCATGGGATTGGCTGATTAAAAATTTGACTTATGAGCGGTTGGATAGGTGTACCTAATAAAGTGGCCGGTGAGTGTATATTCCAATGGTACTTCTCTGAAACAGATGACAATAACTGATCTGTGGAAGTAACAAAATGATCCTTTATTTTTCATATGGAAATATATTTTAACTAACTGACAGACATTTAATAACAGACCTGATGTAAGGACAGATTTACCACTCATTCTTTTAGATATCAATTTCAATTTCCATTTAATTTCAACAGGATTAAAAGATTAGAATCAATATAAAGTAATATAGTCCTTTAAGAAAAACTACCAAATTAGACAAAAAGACTGAGCTTCTATTGTTAAACTCTTCATTTTGAGCACAGTTGAACAAATATGCAAATATTTATCGATAAATGTCAAATTATCAATTATTCAAACAATTAATAACAATAAAGTCAGTAAAATATAATATTATTATTAAAGAAAATGAAAATTAATGATCTTATAGTGAGTCATTCTTTAAAACTATTAATTCAAAGCACGCATTCATTTAGGAATGAAGCAAATGATGACCTTTATTGAAGGATGGTTGCATCACTTTCTCAAAATATGATGAAAAAATGCAAATTAATTTAAAACAAAACTTCATGTTGCATGATTTCAAGGATTGGAAAACTGGTAAATATTTTTCCATGTGTTCCAGGATGCATTGGAACCCTTTCAGAGATTGTTAATCACTTGTATATGTGTTTGTTAAACCCCTTTTGCATCAGTTTAACAATTTTTTCAAAAAGAAAAAAAAATAATAATAAAAACACTGTACCCAAGATGCTGTACAGAAAAGTCCCCCAATCAGTGAACGATCGAAGAATGTCAAAAATCTTTAGCTCCACCCTCTCCCTTTGATGCACATTTTACAAGAAACCTATTTATTTAAATATTTAGTTTCTATTAAAATCAATAACTTTAAATGAACGATCACCATTATTCATAGTTTTCCTTATAGTTCTTAAGTACAAAGACATACCCTTTTTTTTTTTGCCAATTTCCAAATACTGCTTCAAAACAAAGTTTTATTAGTACAATACACATAGTTAAGGTTTTAAATGAAAAATATGTTGTTTGCACACCAGCTTACAATCGGTGCGACTAATCTGTGAGTTTTTTACTTTAACACTGCAGTTTTGACCCGATACAACCTGTGTTGTGTTGATATTCAGCCTATTATCACAGTATTCAGCCCATTATCTATTAAAAAACATATAATAGACAAGAATCAGTTATTTATTTAACAGACCAAGGCCAAACCCATGTTTTTAACACTAGAGACCAGATTTTTATAAAGCCTAAAGCAACAGAATGGTGAGAGAATATCCAGGTCTATAACTACATGGGACTACAACTAGTTAGGAAATAATCATTTGCAATTAAATTTTGTAAAATATGCATCAATTCACTCTCAGTTGTGTGTTTAATATGGCTAAAATCCTAATCTTCCTTGTCTTTACCTATTCAGAATTAGTTGAATTATGTTAGAAATTCCGTATATCAATTTAAAGTCAGAATATAGTGAAAAGTTTGCATTATTTTTGGTTATTTAATATTTTATTGACCTATATGGCCTGAGATAGCAATTACCTGGCTATTTTGCTGACCTCCCTTTGATTCATAGCATTGAGGACTGAAGAGTCTCCAACTTGTTTGCGGATCCAGAGCTCAATCCCGATTCTGGTGTAGAGTATGAGCATGGCTGCGAGAGGCAGCAGAAAGAGGAATACTAGGATGAATGTTGCATATCGTTTCCTGTGGGCACTCGACCTCCAGCGCTCCTGACAGCACACATGATGGTTATCATACAGAAAGTCATATTTCACCTGCACATAGAGTAGACAGAAGAGATGTAACAAATTAGCACGTATGAAAAACATTAGTAATATAGCTGTGGCATGCAAAATTATCATGTGAATGATTTTATAAAGACATGACAGCTTTTACATTGTAAATAACTCGTGCTTTGTTTCAAAAATGAACACAGAAGTTTTTATCAATCTGAGTTAATTCAATTCAATTTATGTTTATTTCTATAGCGCTTTTGCTTTGTGGATTGTGTCAAAGCAGCTTAAGATAGAAGTTCTAGTAAATTGAAGCTGTGTCAGTCCAGTTTTCGGAGTTGAAGTTTAAATTAGGTGAGTTCAGTTCAGTGTGGTTTAAATTTTACTGCTTAAAGTCCAAACACCGAAGTCCCAATCCAAGCAAGCCAGTGGTGACAGTGACGAGAAACAAACTTCCCCAATTGACGAAAGTGAAGGAAAAAAAACCTAGAGAGAAACCAGGCTCAGTTGGGCATGACCATTTCTCTTCTGGCCAAACCTCTTGTGCAGACCTGCAATCTAGGTGCTGCAGGCTGGAGAAAGCTAGACGTCCATCATGGAGAAGCTGCAGGTGTGAGTAGGTCAGCAGCGTGTGTTCAGGCTGGCCCAAAAAGACTCGTCTGTCACTGGGGTCTTTCAGGAATCAGTCTCATGCTCTCCACTCCTCCATATATGCTCCGGATATGGCCTGATCCAGGATTATGGATACCTTGACATCATTTCTTCACAGGCTGTGGATCTCATCAATAGCGCTGCATAATCTCTAGAGGCCTCAGGATGAGTATCCCCAGGTTAAGTTAAGACAACTTCTAATGCTTTTGTTCGAACAACATAATAGATTAGGTGTGTTATTAGTAACAATTATTATCATTGTTTTTAATCATTTAGAATTTGTATGATTAATACTAATATGTATTTCCTTTCACTAAAAATATTTAAAAACAATTCTGCATAAAATTTGTAATTATGTTCAGGATCAGATTTTTCTTCAGTCTTTAAAAAAAAAAGTTCAAAAAAGAAATAAAAATCTTAGTCTGAAGAACATTTAAAAATCTAAAGAGCATTTTTTTAATATAACAATTTATAAATAGTTTCTTTATATAGTAAAGGCTCTTTATGATTCATTACCAATCATTTACCAATCATCATTACCAATAATAAAAATAAATAAAATAAAAAATATGTTAATTTCTGTACTAAATACAGTATAATTTTTATACGTTTTTATTATTTAAAATTCAAATTTACTACCTACACTGTGAAAAAAAAAATCCTTCATTTATTTGTGCTCTTGAATTGAATTATAAGACCTTGATGTTTCTTCCAACAGCTTTTAACCTTGAAAACTGAAAAAATACTTTTGTTAACATTTTTACTAGTTTAAAGTGATATATTGTCTGGATGGGTCGAAGCAGTGGCGCAGTAGGTAGTGCTGTCGCCTCACAGCAAGAAAGGCGCTCGGTCGAGCCTCGGCACAGTTGGCATTTCTGTGTGGAGTTTGCATGTTCTCCCTGCATTCGTTTGGGTTTCCTCTGGGTGCTCCGGTTTCCCCCACAGTCCAAAGACATGCGGTACAGGTGAATTGGGTAGGCTAAATTTTCCGAAGTGTATGAGTGTGTGTGTAAATGTGTGTGTGGATGTTTCCCAGAGATAAGTTGCGGCTGGAAGGGCATCCGCTGCGTAAAAACTTGCTGGATAAGTTGCCGGTTCATTCAGCTGTGGCGACCCCGGATTAATAAAGGGACTTAAGCCGACAAGCCGTCAATGAATGAATATTGTCTCGGTTGGTGTTGGATATTAAGCTGCAAAAAGCTTGTAATAAACTGCTAGTCCATTTTCTGTTGTATTTGCAAACTTATTTCTCTCCATATAATTTTTTTATATATTATATTATTTCAAACTACTAAAATGTCAATAAAAGTCATTTGGTTTAACTGTAGAGTTGAATTTTTAATATTAAATTTTGACAGAAAATGAGGTCAAGGTCCTATAATTCAATTCACAACCATCAATAAATGGAAAACACTTGTGAATCACAAAATACAGAAACTGTTAATTAACAGAATTTTTTTTTTTTACTCAGACATTATGCAATTTTGGATGCACCATTCATTTCATCATCCAGTACTATGCAAAGCATTCTGGGTGATATAAATCTGCAGCAAATTTAATTAATCAAGCCAATTTTATCAACTTGTGTTCACATTACACACAATATTAAAAAAGAAAAGAGAAATATACATTCAAATAGAAACAAAGGTTTTTGATTTTTTGTTTTTCTGCAATGAAAGTCATAGGGAACCAACCATGGGCTTATCCTTATTTTTCAAAATATCCTTTTGTGCTAAACAGAAGAAATAAAGGTGCAGATGAAAAAACGATGACAGTTTTTTTTTTCTATTTTTTAATCATCCTCGTAAATTGATAGTCAGCATTGTTGATAGAAACCACTGCACTTGCATAAATTTTGTTTTGCATAAACAAGTGAAACCTGGAGTAATCTTTTTGTAATGGTAATGCACCCATAAAAATGTGCACATCGGTGCTGCGGTGCCAGTGACTGAATACAAACTAATGTTTGGACAGAGATGTTTTGAATGAAAAAAGGTTCAAATGGAACATTTCAGCCAAATAATCCAAAGAGTACCTCTAATTGTTGAACAAAAAGCATTGGTGATCCAACCATCATGGCTGCGATCCAGACAACCCCTAACAGAGAATGAAACTCCATTATTGAGGTGCTTTATGCACAGATGCATGATCAAATACTGCCAAACTGAATAAAATGTGAATAAACAATGGAAGGGTAATGGTTGTGAAAAACTACACACCCAGCATTCGATATGCTCTTTGTGGGGTGCATTGTCTTTTGATTTTCAGAGGATGTACGATGCCCTGGTATCTTTCCACAGCGATGCAGGTCATTGTGAGGATGCCGGTCACTACAGCAGTGGTCTGAACAAACGGGACAGTTTTACACACCAGCACACCTGCAAGCAAAAGTCAACCTTCTCAGACTTTTGTTTTTATTGAATTAATAAAGAACTTCAAAGACAACAAACACATATTACACAAATACACATCATTGCATTTTTACTACATTATAATAACATGTATTATTATTGCATGTAAATATTATTTCTTTTGAAAGGACACTATATACTGTGGAATCTCAATTTAATTTTTTATATAAACCAAAAAGCAGAGATGCTCCAATCGACTGGCCGAGACCAGTATTGATCGGTACTCACTAATCTGGCCGATCTCATGAACTGATCCCAATTGTTTATTTATGAGTATATAAGCAGAGGACATGTAAGAACTGAAATCTATTTTACATATCACAATTGAAAGTTCTGTATTTTCAAAAATATTGCAAGTTCATTGAAACTTTTGGCTGCAAATATCAGCAAAAAAAAAAAAAAAAAAATTGAATATTTAATAAAATTAATTATTGTAATAAACAGTAGTTTATGGACCTATTTCCTTTTAGTAAAGAAGTAATGGATTTATAGGTGTGCATTTTAACTTCTTATCAGTGGTGAAAAGAGTACTGAAAAATCATACTTAAGTAAAAGTACCATTACTTGCCTAAAAATGTAGTGCAAGTATAGTAAAGTAGTTAGTAGTAGTAGACATTTAAGTACTAAAGAGTAGTGAGTAGTGAGTAGTGAGTATTGTGAAAAGCTAATGCATTTACATATAATTTGTATGTAAACTTTACATTCTGTAGTGCATTTAGGGATTACTCAGAAGGCACACAACATCATAAGACATTAAAATCAGGTTAGATTTAGGTGGTGATGTCAGGTGACCAAAATTCAATGTCTATCCAGCATGCCCCATTAAATGATGTTGATATTTGGTTGATTTTAGGTTGTGTTAGAAAGGGACCAAAATTCAACGTCGAGCCAACAACTTAAACCAACGTCATTGATGTCAGATATTGTTATTTATTTGTCAAGTATGGTAACCCAAATCCAACATCTGATAGACGTCATAATGTTAACGTCCACACAACATCAAGCTGCAACATCATTACTGTTACATACATTAAAACAAATTTGGTAGCTTTTAGGTTGGACATTGACATCGTTGGCCTGACGGTGGGTTCAACACAAAATGCATTACCAAACAAAACGCAATGTCCCCATGAAATTGGAGTAAAATATCAATCTGGGGTTATGTTGACGTCTTGTGCCTTCTGGGTGTTTAAGGCCGTTTAGGTCATCATACAGTAAACATCCGTCATCTTCTCATCAGTGACATGCATTTAAACTGTCTCTTGGTAGATGTGTGTACAGATTTTGGACAGCTTCTTGGACACTTTTAATGCTTCCAAACAGTTTGTTGCTATTATAAATCGCCCATGTCTTGAGGTTGTTCATTATGATGCGATTTACCTTCTATGTGCGATTTGATTAGACTTGCAGGACTGATTTTTCTAATCCCCGTAGACAAGGAAAAATAAAGTAGTGACAGCAAGTTAAAGGAAAGTAATGGAGTAAAAGTAACACTACTGCACTAAAAATGTCCTCGAGGGAAAGTAAAAGTACTCATTTTAAAAAAACTACTTAGAAAATCACAATTCCTGAGCAAAACTACTTAACTACAGTATTTGTAATTGTTTACTTTACACCACTGCTTCTTATGCATCAAATATGCGCTCCAAACTTCACTGAGATATTGAATTCTTCTTCCACCATTTGCAGTGTTTCCAAATTGCTTTGTTAGTGATTTTTCTAATCTGTTTTATCTATTATTGTCTGTAACGCTGCTTCTGACCATGGTATGTCCACACTAAATGGTTATGAAAGATGTGTTTAAGGAATTATATGCAACATCTTTAATTTATTCTCTTAGGTAAGGCAAGATCTCCACTTAAGTACTATATTTAGAGTGACATGCTTTATGCATTATAAAGCTTAAAGCATCAGAATTGGTACTATTGACTGATCACCATGACATGGCATTGGTACTCGGTATCGGCTGCAAAAATCCTGATTGGAGCATCTCTAGAAATAAGTTTATATACTGACAACTCCTTAATTATTCTGTAATGTAATAATGTGCAATGATTGTAAAGCTGCTTTTAAAAAGTAGTTATTGTGAAAAGTGATATATATATATATATATATATATATATATATATATATATATATATATATATATATATATATATATATATATATATATATACATACACATACACATACATAAACAAAGAAACTTGGATTGAAATTAATTCTTTTACAACCAAAGCAAGATTTGTGAGTAATAATGTGAAAACAGTCATCAAGAATCTACATTCTAATATTTAATATCTAATATTTGTGAAGATTTAATGGATTGAATTTACCTCAAATTAAATTCTGATATTGGCTTTGTTGTGAGTATTACATTGTTAGTATTTCCTTAGGGAAAGGGAGTGGAGCAATGTTGTCTGTCAGAGAGCCATAACAAACATGCAGAATGCATAAGTGTGTGTGTGTGTGTGTGCATGTGTGTAATTCAACAAACCATCACATGATTAACAGTACAGAACAGAACACTTGATATTAATTATGATTATCCACATCATCTAAGAAATTTACTATGAGGAAGCCATGGTTATCAGCTGCAAATAAATAAATAAATACACACTACATCAGAATATTTTCAAGCTGTTTTTATAATAAAACGGGTTGAAAAAAAAATGAAAAACATTTTATGATATGGCTATTATTATTTGATCAATACCATGAACTACCCTATCATTAAGACACTGGAATAGCCTAGTAGTTATCAAATTCATCAATCAGTCATTATTTCATCATCATCATTTAACAGATTAATTAGAATGAAATCAACCCTAAAAGTTTTCAACGACAACAACATCACAGCGATGCACCGTTTTAAGTGATACTCACCGCCGAACCATTCAGAAGAGATGTTCTGCAGGAGAGTGAATGGGATGCAGAAGAAAGAGATGAGCAGGTCGCTGACGGCTAGAGAGCAGATGAAGATATTTGTGGCGGTCTGAATCCCTCGCTTTCTTAACACAATATACACAACGACACTGTTTCCGACGAGAGCCAGCAGAAAAATCACCGTGTACACGATAACAAACGTAGTTTTGGCGCCAGCGGGCAACTCCGGGATGTAAACCAGCGGCTCGATCTGGTACGTCTCGATGAACTCCTGACGGGTAAGATTGTAAAACTGCAGTAGTTGCTCCAGCACTTCAGGAGTAATCTTCTTATCCCCCATGTATAATGCTCGTCTTTGAAATGGGACCAGAAAGAAATCAAAGTTTTACAGCTGTTGTTAGTCAGTTCTGCTCTTCGCGCCTCTTCACACTGAATCAGCAGCAGGAGTATGCGGAGTATTTCTTCTGACACATCGGCTGTGTCTCTACACCTGTTTGAGTATTTCACACTCGCTGTCTAAACACGCTGTACAACACACTGAGTTTGAAAACGAATCACTGGAATTCGACACTTCAAGAATGGATGAGATGTAGCCCAGGTTACAATTTGTTTATTTAATAAAAAACAAACGAAATTAAATAGGTAAAGAAAATACGGAATAAAGCCTATAAATATAATTCAATGACAATGTAAACTACTAATAACATAATTGTCGTCATTATTACAACTGTTAGTTGCTATAAAAATGAAATAATAAAAACAATAACCTTAATTTAATCAGCTAAATTCATTTAAAGACAGATCTCATTAAGAGGCAGCATAAAAATCAAAAAACAGTATGGATAATCACAAAACTTCAGTTTGTGTTGAGACAACATAAAAAATTAAGTTGTCCCCAAAAAAACTCAAGAATTGTGGTGTTTCATTCATTTTCCTTCAGCTTAGTCCCTTTATTCGTCAGAGGTCGCCACAGCGGAATGAACTGCCAACTTATCTAGCACATGTTTTACACAGTGGATGCTCTTACAGCCGCAATCCAGTATTGGGAAACACCCACACTACTGCCAATTTAGTTTATTCAGTTCACCTACTGCATGTCTTTGGACTGTGGGGGAAACCGGAGCACTCGGAGGAAACCCACGCAAACACAAGAAGAAGCAAATTCCACACAGAAGTGCCATCTGGTCCAGTCAGGACTTGAACTAGCTGGACCTTGAACCAGTGACCTCAGGTGCTAATCACTGAGCCACCGTGTTGCCTCTGTGTTATTTTAGCCCATTTTAAATAAGTAGTTTGATCGAATTATAATTTTTTGAGTATATAATAACACAAATATTAAAAAATACAACATATAAATCAAGAAAACAAGCAAATACCTAAAACAAGTACTGTATTGTACTATTAACTAAATCAAATAAAATAGAAAAGTCAAATAAAAAAATCTAAAATAAAATAATTAATTAATAGTCATAATAATAATAATATTAATAATTCATTCAATTATTTTCTTTTCGGCTTAGTCCCTTTATTAATTAGGGTGGCCACAGCGGAACGAACTGCAAAATTATCCATCACGCTTTATGTCGCAGATGCCCTTCCAACTGCAACCCATCACTGGGAAACACCCATACACACTCATTCACAACGGTTAATTAAGCTTACCCAATTCACGTCTACCACATGACTCTGGACTGTGGGGGGAATCGAACCAGCGACCTCCTTGCCTTGAGGTGATTGTGCAACCCACTGCGCCCCTGTGACACCATAATAATAATAATAATAATAATAATAATAATAATGGATATGATTAAATATTTTTACAAAGTAAATTGCAAATTGTGAGTTTAAAAACAGATTCTTGCATTAAAGATTCAAAACTTTACATTGACATTACATTTAAAATGTTCAAAATAGTACTTGGAAATAAACAAGATATCATCTTGACTGTGTTCTATAGTATTCATTTTATTTATTTTTATTTACTTATTCTTTATTTATCAATACTTTATTTTAATTCTTTTATTGAGATTTTTAGTTGGTTGATCTGTTTTTGTCTCATTGTAAAAATCTACTTCTTAATCAGCTCACCTCTAAATTAGAAGCAGTTTACATCAGCTTCAGTCAAAGCTCACCGTAGATTTGTCATCACTACATTTTGTGGTCATCTGGCACTTATTCAATATTCATTTCGATCTCCTAAACCAAATCATCAAAGAAGGCATGTTTATATGAAAGAAAAAATTAAACAAAATTATGCTCAAGATGCAAGACACAAGCTGGAGTCTGAATTCATATCTGTTTGATCCTATACAGCTTAAAGAAATTTAAATTAATTTCCTAAATTTCCTATTCGGTGTTACCCTAACAGGGGTAGTAATTGGAAATAAAAACTCTTTAGCCATTTGTCTATGTTTAATTTGATGCTAGGCACTTATGCTAACTGCAAATCCACATATGGCTCTTTGTGGTGGGGATCTTAATTTGGAACTTGGTACATTTCTCTTTCTTTATGCGTATAAAGCTTAATACAGACAGAAGTGCCCCTGTGATAATCTGTCAGATGTTGTCTGTTCTGGACCAATAAAAGGTGCACCCCAGGATCTTCCATTTACATTTGCCAAATTGTAAAAAATGTTAAGTTGACTGAAGCCTTATTAAATACAGTACACACATCTACCCTGACATATGTATCATATTTGTTATACTGTTTAAAGTTACAAAAGAAATAAACCACACACACGCACACACACGCACACACACGCACACACACACACGCACACGCACACACACACACACACACACACACACACACACACACACACACACAGAGTAAATCATACAGACAAGGCTTAAGGCTATCCTAGACTAAATTGCACATTTGAGCTGTCTAAATTGAAAATAACTAGCAGTTAGATCTTAAAATACAAGGCTTATTTCATCTCAAGATGTACACTGGTAACATGTTTTTCTAAACCATTTTTATAAAAGCTGCTTAAATGCCCCAATTTAAAGAAGACATACAGTCCCGGCCTAAAGGAACTATCTACTTATTCTCTCTTTTAAGTCTCCTAGAGTTAAACAGTTGACTTGAACCATTTTTGAACCCATTCAGTAGATTTTGTTGTTCTGACGAGGTCACTTTTAGCTCAGCTTAGCATAATTAATTGAATCACATCAGCACATAAGCATTCCATTGAAAAAGAGCTTAGACAGTTTTAAAGCTCAGGTCTTCTGTAGTTACATTGTGTAAAAACATCAACAGCAAATGAAAAGTGATTATTTTCTAGGCCAAAATATCAAGGAACTTTACTGTCATTCTTTGTGAGAGTCATCGGCTGCTTTCAGAGAGCACTTTGAAACCATGGAAACATGAGAGACGCGCTATTGCACTCCATAAGATAACTCAATAGATTTAGTATGATTTGACGTGTTCAAGCAACAACCCATCCTTTTCCATTCAGAGAAGTTAATAATAGTCCTTATAAACAATTCATTTATGAAGTAAGTAGCGCAGGGGCGGACTGGCCATCTGGCAATTCTGGCAATTGCCAGAAAGGCCGGAACATCTTTTAAATGTGGGCCGGTCAGCTATTTTTTTTATTTATTTTTTCATATGTATTGTTTTTTTACATGTAAGCAGCTTTTATCTCTTGCAAGATGTGAATATTATGATGATGATTATGATAATAGTAAGAATATTAATCAATGTTAAGCACAGGCCCAATCGGCAACGACCGGCTGGTTTCGAGATGGGCCGACCCAATCAGAGGTTATGCAAACATAATCAAAATCTGGCAAGGATGTCAAACACACAGTGAGTGCAACAAATTGATAGAGATAGACCATAAAAAGAGAAAGGCAGTCAAGTCAGACAATGCCAAATACATCAAATGAACTGAACTAGTCTCGAAAGGGGGCAGTGCAGTGGCGCAGTGGGTAGCGCTGTTGCCTCACAGCATTAAGTTCGCTGGTTCCCTCAGCTGGGTCACATACATTAAATGTTTAAATATCTCTTAAATATGTTACTGCTTATATAATTTTACCATCTGTACACCAATATAAGCAGCGAATGTGCGTGTCCGTGGATGGGGCTGTGTCGGTGTGGTAATGTGGGCTGGTGTGGCTACAGTGCCATGGCTGATTCTTAGTCCCAGTCCGCCCCTGAAGTAGCGTTACTTATCAAACACTGAAAAATAAGCAGAACTCATATTGTTCCTTGCATAAAAATCATTGCAAACTGAAGGGTATTTATAAAGTATAAACCTATAAATAAAGTAATTATGTTTAAATTGTTCACTTTGTTCTTAAAATATTTCTTGCATAAATTGTATAGTGTAGATATCTGAAATGGTTAAAGTTAGTAGTAACTAAAAGGTATGTTAACTAATAACCTTAACCTTTCTGATTGTGATTGCAATGCAATAACGAATAACGTGCACCTTTTGTAATGCTGCTTTGCATTAAGCAGTTTTTTAAAAGATAGCAGTAAAACTTTGAAGTAATTATTGTGAAAAGCTCTATACCAGAGATGCCCACTAACCATGCTAACCTTTGATTTGGCTCACCCTCCCGTTTGAGAAGAAAGTGAGAATGATGGGGCAATTCAATTTAACCTTTTGTTTGTTTGTTTGTTTGTTTGTTTGTTTGTTTGTTTGTTTGTTTGTTTGTTTGTTTGTTTGTTTTGTCATTTCTTTTGTTTTGTAAATGAATCAAATTTTTAAAAATGTAAATACTGTCACTCGATGGATAGAGGACAATGGCGGGTGCAGTCTTTGGTGTATTCAGCATTGAATTCCATGGTGTTATTACTGGGATTGTTAATGCTTTCACTGTAATAAATTCATTTAAATTCATATATTTTATATAGTGCATTAATTAATATAACTTAATTTTAAATATTAAGAAACAAATTAGGAAATTACTCATGAAAATTTTGATGTATTAGTTTGGTATATTTACCTTTGGCCCACACCTATCAGTCAAGTTTAGATTTTGTTCCTTCATAAGAAAATTTTGGGCACCCCTGCTCGGTACAAACAAACTTGAATTGAATATTATTTCATCAATCTGCTTAATTGTTGCATTATACACAGCAACTGTAACAACTCACCCGGGATGGACTAGGTTGCAACAATGTAATTCTTCATTTTAAAAAGACAAATGTGGCTACCAACAACCACTAATTTACTGACCCTCAAACAAAACTGACTTTTCTGTATCTTTACATGGTTTAAATTGCACCTATTTTACCCCTTTTTCAAAATTTAAGATAAGTCTTTTGTGTCTCCAGAATGTGTCTGTAAAGTTTAAGCTCAAAACACTCATCAGATTGTTTATTATACCTTTCAGAATATTGGGATTTTCTGCTCTGAACACTTGTGGCCTGTGCCTTTATTGCTGGTTCTCCCCGCCCACCTTTCAACATTCCTGTCATAGTGTGCCTCGATCTCCGCCTCAGCTGCATCTGATAAACAGCACAGTGTCAGACATGAAGGAAGCAGATGATTTTGAGAAATACTACAGTAAGAACTTTCTCAATGATTATTTGTTGTATTTGTTGTGAAGTTAATTCAAGCCTTTCTGCAACGATGAGTCACACACAATGCTATTACAAAGTTCATGCACGCAAAAACACACACACACACACACACACACACACACACACACAGCTTGCTCATTTAACTTTGCACTGTTTTTGCAC